TATCCTTATTTATACATCATGCCTTCAGGCAACATTTTCCTTCCTGTCTTTGTCTCTCAATGACCAAAGTTAATCCTGAAATCATTACTTTATTACCATACCCACAACTTTCACATTTCAATGGCTATTCATACACAGAGTCTGTCTATAAAGGACTGGTCCTAGGAATTTCAATACATGCATCTAGAAAGTAGATTTGGGGTGCTTCTACACCAGTGGTTCCCAACATTTTTTAGACCAGGGACCACTTGACCAGGGACCACATTGACCAGGGACCACTCTCCAACATTACTACCAAAAGGATTGTGAATCAGTTTTTGGTCAACTTTAGATTTGGTTTGGTTATTTGGGGCACTGATTCAGAAAATTGCATTGAATAGACCACATCAGCTCTAGTTTCTGAAACAGAGCATATGCCATCCAGTAGTTGCCATCTGCTCACCCACAGAAGACCATATTTAATAAGCCTCGGCACTATAAGAGGGTTTTACGAGACCAGTCACTCTTGTTGCAATGGTGTAGTAACTGTGAGGCTGCGGACCATGTTTTAGTTCTTGCGAACTACTGGTAGTCCACGGACCACAGACTGGAAACCACTGATATACACTGTAGGATTAATGGAGTTTGCTGCCAAGGCTCAATGCTAGGGAATCATGGAAGTTGTAGTTTGGTGAAGCACCAGCATGGTTTGGAAGAGAAGTCTGAAAGACCTTATAAAACCACAGATCTCATGATCCCATAGCATTAAGTGATGGAGTTAAAGTGGTGTCAAGATGTATTAATCAAACACTGTAGATCTTAAGTCTGGGGAAGCTTTCATTACCAACTTTGTTCTCTCCATTAATCTTCAAAGTGCTACAAGATCCCTTTGCAAACTAACTAAATAATGGAAAACATGGTGTGCATTCTGTTATTTCTTGGAGATCCAAAACTACTGACTCCCAGCAGAAAATCCCCTTTCTGAAGACATTAGGATTAACCTGGCAGATAGAAACGAAGGTGCGGAGATTATAAAGTCACAGCAATGTCACCTGGAGTGAGAAGCGGGGGGATAGGAGAGTGGTGAAGGTGATGGTTGGGAGTAAGAGTTAAAAAATGGTCAAATTAGTAGGAAAAGTGCACAAGGAAGGGGCAGAGGATCTTGAAAATTACCAGATGAAGAGGCAGTTGTATTGAAGTGCAGAGCTCAGCAGGTGCTTTTCTAAGGTCACTCAGTGAACTCAACGAACAAAGAGTCCTGGATGCCCACCACCTTTGCCTTGTCCTGCCTTATCTGCTTTATTGCCAGAACTTAAAAGCATGGGTCAAAATATATATGGCATAGAAAGGCTCCAGCAGCATCTCTTCACTCTTTAACCTCATTTCCATTTTTTTAAAGGTGAAATGCAGCAGATTTCGGCTACTCTGAAGCTGAAAGAGCAAAAGTATGTGTAACCTTTCTCCTCATTGCTTCTGTTATCTTTTATGGTGGAAAAAAATCAAGTAAAACTTGTGTTACCTGGTCCAACTATTCTGAACCCATAATTAAGCCATTAAACTATTTATATATTTGGGTTTACAGTGCGCTCAAGCAAAGTTTAGCCACAGGATCTTTTTAAACTGGTAGAACTCTGGCTGGGGAGCATGGAATGAATGGTTGCTGTAAAGTATCTGAGCATGTGCAGAGTGTTTTCCCCAAACAAACCCTCCCACATGTAGCTGAAACAGGAGGCAACCCTATCACCTATCTGTTATAAATGTTAACTGTTGGGCTAAATACTATGACAAGGGGACAATGTTATTGTCTCTCTGGGAAGCTTGACATCCCGCCTCTTGGACAAGGAATCACCTCGGCCCCTGATCCAACAGAAATATTTCCTCCTTATAGTCTAATCCTCCAAGCTGGGCTTTAGCTGCTTGAGTTAATTGAGGATGAGGAGGCTTGAGGTCTCAGAGGTATGTATATCTGCATAAAGAGAGACCAGGGGGCTTTCAGCTCTCCATTGGTGACTTTCTATAGCAGTGGTTCTCAACCTGGGGATCAAGACCCCTGGGGAGGGTCGCAAGGGGGTGTCAGAAGAGTAGTCAAAGACCATGAGGGCTCTGTTGGTCATGGTGAGGTTCAGAATGCTCTTTGATTGTAGGTGAACTATAAATCCCAGCAACTACAACTCTCAAATGTCAAGGTCTATTTAGTCCAAACTCTACCAGTGTTCACATTTGGGCATATTCAGTATTCGTGGCAAATTTGGTCCAGATCCATCATTGTTTTTGTCCACAGTGCTCTCTGGATGTAGATTAGCTACAACTCCAAAACTCAAGGTCAATGTCCACCAAACGCCTCCAGTATTATCTGTTGGTCATGGGAGTTCTGTGTGCCAAGATTGGTTCAATTCCATTGTTGGTGGAGTTCAGAATGCTCTTTGATTGTAGGTGAACTATAAATCCCAGCAACTACAATTCCCAAACGACAAAATCAATCCCCCCAAAACCCCACCAGTATTCAAATTTGGTCCAACATCCATATTAACTTGGCATACGATTTTTCCCATTTTACAGATGGAACCTCAACAATTTTGTAAGCTACTCTCAAATTTGAGCCACAGTCCAAATTAGATATTGTCTCTGCTTCACCAGGCTTATCTTATTTAACTGTTGTTGCTATAAGGGTCTTGGGAAATTACGAGCCCCTTTGGATATTATGTGGTCAAAATCCTGGTTATGCTATCAAGGGTTCTTTAGACTGGCAACTCCTGGCATACCAGTCAAAAGACATTGTGAACTTATTCCTCTCTTTCCCTCTCTAAACATACTTTTAATGGTAAAGAAGTGGTGAGAAAACATGGAAAATTTGCAGATAGAAACTTTATAAATGAATTTTTAATTGAGTTATTTATTGTGCCTGTTGAGTGCACAATAAAACTGTACTCTGGAACCAGGATGAGTGTATATTTGCCAGAAAGCTGTGCCAACAGTCAAATATGGCTTACTCATGCATGTATTTCTGTTATTTTAAAATGTTCATATATTACATTTTAAACCAGCACACTTCAATAAAACACTGTTAGATCTAAGAAACACAGAACATGCATCTTATGTAAGCATTTGGTGTGGTATTTTTGGACTGACAAGCCTTTCTGGCAGATTGAAAATTCTGTTTCATCCGAAAGCTGGCCTTTACCGAAATTGGTTCAGTAACAACTTTGTGCCTTCAGATTGCTTTATGGCAACCTTATGACTTCCACAGCATTTTCTTAGCCAAGGAATACACAGCAATTTGTCATTGTCTTTCTCAGAAATGTACCCTATAGCAGCCTGTATTCATCGGTAGCTCGCCATCCAAGCACAAACCAGGCTTGACCATGCTTAGCTTCCAAGGTTAGACCGGAGCTAGTGCCTTCAGGGTGTTTAGACCCTTAAGAATCACGTTCCCCATTCTGTATTTCTCCCCTGCTCACTTTGTAAGTTTTCTTTATTTGTTTTTTTTTAAAATGCTATCTTTTTTCATCTCCAGCTGACATGCCAGATAGATAGGGGAGAGGAAGGATCTGCCTTCTCTTTCAAACGGGACAAGGCTATGCATCAGAGCCCAGGGACAAGGCAAAAGACAGGTTTGTGCAGTATGTTGACCTCTCTACTATGAGGCAGAATGAGGCAGTTCCTTCTGGTTGTGGATTTCAGTTCCTTTGATGGTTGTATTCTAATCTACACTTGAAAAAACATTTTTTTACAAGGATGTTGGGTCCCTATTTACATTTTTCACGTTAGGTGCCAAACTCTCTTTCTCAGCCACTCCTGGCCTAAGTGTGATGTGAACTTTGAGGATATCCTGGTAGACTAGGTTGCTTTCCTGTTTCATATATTATATACCTTTGGGTTCTTGCATTTTTCCTTGGCTAGATTCAAGAAATCATCTGGCTTTAGGGTTGCCAGTTCAGGATTATACCAAACCCTGAGGTTACTGAGCCCAAACCTAAGATCTAGTTACGGCCCCTGGTGATATAATTAAACTTAGTGCCTTTAGTACCAAGCACAATTACCGCATATACTTGAATATAAGCCAACCCGAATATAAGCCGAGGCACCTTAGTTAGGGATGAGGAACGTTTGATCTAGGCTTGTATCTTCTAGCCAGATGCAAAGTATTGTGGAGGGTGAGCTCTGGCAACTGGGAGAAAAAGGAGGAAGTTGAGTAACTGGGTTGTTGTAGGTTTTTTCGGGCTATATAAATAAATAAATAAATAAATAAATAAATATATGGCCATGTTCTAGAGGCATTCTCTCCTGACGTTTCACCTGCATCTATGGCAAGCACCCTCAGAGGTAGTCCTCACTACCTCTGAGAATGTTTTCCATAGATGCAGGCAAAACGTCAGGAGAGAATGCCTCTAGAACATGGCCATATAGCCCGAAAAAACCTACAACAACCCAATGATTCTGGCCATGAAAGCCTTCGACAATACATTGAAGTTGAGTAAATCTGTAGACCACCCCCAAAGAATCTTTGCAAGCTGCTACAACAAATCAATTAAAGCTTTCAAATTAACTGAACTGGAGATTTGCACGTAGCCGTTCCTCTTGATTGGAGCATAGTTGCCCCAAACTGGAAATATTTCCATCGTCATCTTATGCCTGGAGATGACCAGTCATAAATACTGGAGACTCAGAATCTGGCCTGGACATCTGGAAAATTCCTTCACTCTCATAGTCTTTTGCCTCTGGGTCTCTCCTGCATACCACATGAAAATATCCATGTATTGACCTACATTAACCCTACAACTTGCTGCAGAAAGGTAGACAGATGTGGGAAGTAAAATAGAGCCTGTCATCATTGGCTTCAGTGGCACGCGAATTAGGTCTTCTATGTCATGAGGAGGTCATCAAATCATGCTGCGCCCACCCCTCACATTAGTATCACCCCAGGCTGATTCTGTTCAAGCAGAGTTATGAAACCAGACTTGCAACTAACTACCCCGCTGGGACGGTCAATGCCCCTGTCTTCCCCCATTTGTCTGACTCACCATTTCTCAGAGGTGGCTTTCAGCTCAGCACAGGGTGGCTCTTCTGTAGGGGCGTCTTGTCCCTCTGCGCTGGGGGTTTCTGCGGGGCTGGAGGTCTCTGACATACTGGGGCTGGCTGTGCGTGCCTCCGTCTGCACTGTTCAAGGGGAAAGTTACCAAGGCTGCCTCTGGCTGGAGAGGCAGCCGGAGCCCAGCCCAGTCATGCGGGAGGGGTGGATAGATAGAGAGATAGAAGGATGGGCGGGTGGATCTTGGGCATTTGAGATATGCTCCCACGGCCCAGCACCAGGGTTTAATTCACAGAGGCTAAGCTCGGGGAAAGGCACCCTCCCTTCTGCATCTGGATTTGGGGCAGGGAAGGGACCCAACGTGAGGTCAAGGAGATCAGCTACGGAGGAGAGTGACAGCTTGCACCGGGAGACTGCCAGGCACCTGCCTCCCAGAACTTCTCATGGCCTGCTGGGCTTAGGAATCATAATTGGCCGCAGTTGAGGCAAGGCTGCATGCCGGCCATATGAACCCCAACCCCAAAGGGGGTAGAAGTTGATATCTGGGCCAGGATGGATCCATTGTTATGTTTCGGAGGATGGAAATCAGGGGTGAGGGGTAGGGTTTGTGCACCTTGGGTGCTGTGTGTCTGTTGTCTTGGGGGATTTATGTGTGTGCAATGCATCCATTAATGCGGTGAATATACTTTTCTGGATTCCTGTGCATATGTATATGGCCAAAGCCATATATGTGAGTTTTGGTTGAGATTGAGATAATTCATTCATGCCTTTGGTGGTTGATTCAAGCTGGCAGTTCCCCTCTTTTCCTTCTGGTGCTGTGTTTTCCTTTTAGACCTTTTAAAATTGTTAACATGTTTCCATATCATTGCTTGTTCAGTTGTTCTTTAGAATCTTGATGTTTGTATCCACACATGTTTGTATCCACACATAAATCAACCAAACAGATATATCAGATTGATTTATTTTTTGTGTCAGGAGCGACTTGAGAAACTGCAAGTTGCTTCTGTTGTGAGAGAATTGGCCATCTGCAAGGATGTTGCCCAGGGGACATTGCCCAGGGGACGCCCAGATGTTTTGATGTTTTTACCTTTTTTGTGGGAGACTTCTCTCATGTTCCCACATGGGGAGCTGGAGCTGACAGAGAAAGTTCATCCGTGCTCTCCCCAGATTTGAACCTCTGACCTTTCGGTCTTCAGTTATACCAAATGCCCAAGTGGTAATGGGTGTGCTGGTTGTGATTGCTCAGGGGAAATATTCTGCACATGCTTGAAAGAAATGAAAAGCCATGTTTCAGACTTTCATAATTAAGCAGCTTCGAAGCAAGCATTTAAGTCATGGTTCAAAAGTATCTCTGTGATGAAGGGGCACATTTGCCTGTGTCTGGTTAGAGCTCTTTCCATCCAAACAAAAATAAAATAAAATATTGCAGTTCAACTCATGTTAATACACCAAGGATGGTCTGTGCATTATAATTGTGTGAATTTCTATATAGCTAGAAGAAGTGAGCATAGACAGATCTGGGAGTCTTGAATGGGCATTATAGTACTTTCTGAATCCCGAATACTGGGTTGTGATTGCATGAGTGTCCTGGAAGAAATATTGGAGAAATAAGAGAAATGAATGTTCATTGTGTCTGTGAGAGTGGAAATGTGCACAATGCATGTTAGAACTCTGGGTACTGAAAACTGGATTGCACAAACATCAATGCGGGTGCATTGATGTTTCTGGTGAAAGGAATTATTACATAGGACCCATTACAAGACTTAGATATATATGACATTGTAGAATCCCATATATATCTATTTAATATAAAGCCTTTCCGGTTTCTGTGGAATTTACTAGGATGTGTATATGATTGAAGTCTTTGCCCCACTGAATTCAACCATCTAAATCCTAGGTCTTGTCTAGAGTCATTAAATCTACTGGATTTGCCTACTTAGTTGTTGCTTAAGGAGAGTTTTCTGTGTTTGGGACTAGCTAACAGGATTGTAGACAATTGAAACATATGCTCTACAGCAGTGTTTCTCAACCTTCCTAGTGCTGCGACCCTTTAATACAGTTCCTCATGTTGTGGTGACCCTCACCCATAAAATTATTTTTGTTGCTACTTCAAACTGTAATTTTGCTACTGTTATGAATCATAATGTAAATATCTGATATACAGGATGTATTTTCATTCACTGGACCAAATTTGGCACAAATCCCCAATACGCCCACATTTGAATAGGGGGGGGGGGGGAGTGGGTGCAATTGATTTGTCATTTGGGAGTTGTAGTTGCTGGGATTTATAGTTCACCTAAAATCAAAGAGCATTCTGAACCAACGATGGAATTGAACCAAACTTGGCACACAGAACTCCCATGACCAACAGAAAATACTGTAAGGGTTTGGTGGGCATTGACCTTGAGTTTTGAGTTGTAGTTCACCTACATACAGAGAGCACTGTGGACTCAAACAATGATGGATCTGGACCAAACTTGGCACTCATATTCAATATGCCCAAATGTGAACACCGGTGGAGTTTGGGAAAAATAGACCTTGACATTTAGGAGTTATAGTTGCTGGGATTTGTAGTTCACCTACAATCAAAGAGCATTCTGAACCCCACCAAATATAGAATTGGGCCAAACTTCCCACACAGAACCCCCATGACTAACAGAAAATTTTCTGATGGTCTTTGGTGACCCCCTCCAACACCCCCTTACGACCTCCCAGGGGTCCTGACCCCTGTGTGCATGTGTTAATGTGTGTATAATTGTATTTGCTGGTGTATTCTAGGGGTGGACAAAATATGGAGGAGGGTCCAGTCTGTATGGCCCTTGCAGTGACTCTGGGCAAATTAATTCACCTTCATACTAGGCAGAGTTCTTTCACCTTGGCATATGCAAACTGATTGTGTTTCTTTTTGTAGGTCATTGATTGGGTCTTTGTGTATGTAATGGGATTATTTCTTGGCCAGTGCAAGGACAGATTTGCTTGGTAAACTGCGTGTGGGTGTAACAGATCTCTGATGGCACAACCTGTACATGTCATCTGAGAACTGAGCCTGAAAATAGTGGAAGTTACTCCCAGGTAAGAGTGTTAGGAACTGCAACTTCTGTATATCATAAAAAAAAGAATGGAGAAGCAATGTGGTGTAGCAGTTTGACTTGGACTTGAGAGATTCAGAGTCTCCACTGAATACTTGTCTCCTTGATTTCGAGTCTCCTGGGTGACTTAAGATCAGTTACTCTCTTTCTGACTTATCTCAGTAATTGTGTGGATAAAGAGAAGATGACAACATTCTTGAGCTCATTGGGAGGAAGACATGAGTCTAACTAATACCTAGGTAATATGAGGATTGTGCACTATTTTTATGCTTTGTGGGCATGTTACAGCAAGCATTACATGACTCAGAAATATACAAATTCAGTTAAAAATCCGTATTCGCACATTGCCTACTTCTGCTAGTTAAAAAAACCTCTGTGGTAGCAAAACGACAATTAAAAATGAAAACGAATTCCAAAATTTATACAGAACTTTATTAGACCAGACATTGCTTCCTTTTCATCTCAGTAAAACAGCAGGAAAGAAAAAAACAGCAAGGAGACATGGAGAATGACGCAACTCTCCATGTCACTCTGTTACATAAAAGCATCTGATTTTTGCCGCCTTTACGATTCGATCTGCTGGCCTTGGGATAAAATGCAGTATCTGCCTCGCCTGTGCTTAGCTGAGGAAAGCCAATTCAGAAAGAGATGATTTTTATATGGAGTTACAGCTCCCTCCAATGGCCAGGTAGACAAAAAGCTTTGTTTACTCTGGTTAAATAAGTGAGCTGATATCTTCTTATCTTTCAATGTATTCAACCAATAATGTTTGTACAGATTTCTCTATTGACACATGAGGAAAGCTGGTACTCTGCTACAAGGCAAATGAGTCCTTGTTGTCTAAGGTTAACATATTTTGAAAAGAAGAAACAAGGTCACATCTGCCAACTTAATATTTCAAACCACTACTTTCTGTGCTGACTTTAACTTTAAATATCCTGTAAGCTCCAAGCGAGACCTACATTCTCTAGAGTCTCCATACCCCATTTGAAAGCTAAGAAGGGCAAGCTCCGATTTGTACTTGGATGGGATACCACCAATTAATATTAGATGCTACAGGCTATATTTCAGAGGATGAAACTCTCAAAACTACTTCTGAGTATTCGTTGTCTATGAAATCCATGGAGTACATAAGTCGACAGGTGATTTGAAGCAACAGACACAAACTTCGGGTAGTTGAAAGAGGAGACACCATTCCTTAGTTAAGTTAGTCTAGCAGACAAGGCAGATCTTTCTTGTGGCCGAAACCATCCTGAAGATGATATTTGGGCACCTTTTTCCTCTCCATCCAAGACAACACTTCTTTGGGAATCTCTAGATCCTTCAGCACAATCCTATGGTCAACGTCTGCCAGGCCTCTTCTATAAAATCATAGTGAAGGACTAACTAATGTCTAGTAAAGCATAATATTTAGAAAGTTCTATTTCATAAACACAACACTATGATGGAAGTGAGGGTCCTTCCGCGCAACCATATAACACAAAATATCAAGGTAGAAAATCCCACAATATCTGCTTTGAACTGGGTTATTTGAGGGTGCTTCCAGACAGCACCAAATCATGGGTTTTAGTCGGGCAAAAAAACCCCCAAAAATCTGGGACCTGAGAAGATGTCCAGATACAGACTGTTGGTCCCGGGATTTCTACCTCTGTCGTCCACACTTGCTGCTTTGTCGTGGGATTTAGAGACCCCCAAGATGGCTGCTGTGGGACTTCCACCAGAAATTTTGCCATTTTTACAAAAAAACCAAAAACTTAAGATGCATACATGCGAATCATTGTATAAGTTCATTCCTGGGTTATATAAAATGCAGGGCCACCTGTGCAGACAAGATGTTGTTCCTGGGTTATACATAAGTGTTCCTGATTGCTGTTATTGTGAAAAGATGTACAACGTTGACTAGGGAGTCACAGCTTTGTCCTGGCCATAGAACACGTGCCCTTCACACATTTCATGAAGTTTCTGGCACACAAACAAAGTTTTCACCTTCTATTCAACTGTCATCTTCCTTTTAGGAATCAATCAATCAGGAATAGACATCTAAAACCCGGGAACAAATCCAGTTTAAAAAATCCTGTGTTTTCCTATTGTAGGAAGATATAGACATTCGAAGATGTGGATTTTTGGACCAGAACCAGGACATTCCCACACCTAGGAAGGACCAACCCTGCATAATTAAATCAACTTGAGCATTTATTTAGTTTCTCCTGTCTAGTGCAGGCAAACTTGGCCCCTCTTTTACTAGACATAATCATCACAGGGCTCTGCATCAGGGATGGGGCGACATCGCTTTATAACGGTATGGATTTCTTCCACAACCAGATTTCTGCTGATTCCTTGTATGGTGCTTCTCTGCTGCATCCCATTTTTGTAGTAGCGAACCACTGAGGCGGTGAAGGGAATCTCTGATTTCATTTGAATACCTTCCATTTCTACTTTGCACTCATGATTGGGCTGGACTTCCAATTCCACATCTACTGTATGTATCTCTCTCTCCGTCTCTGAAGAACCTTCAAACTGGGTAACTTGTCTTTCTGCAGAAACAGACCAACACCCACCTATGATTTTAAGGATTCCTGCAGTTAGAGTATAACTCCCATGAAGTGACAAAGAACGGCTGAAATCCCAGTGATGTTCGTGATCTACTTCTTTGGACAAGGAAGCCTTTTTCTTGACTACTTTACAGTCATAGTTTCTGACTTTGCTGGCTTTTAAGGTCACAGTCTTGTTTTCATACACTCCAGTCTCTGTAAAGTATTTGACACCGTAAATGTTCTGAGACACGTAGTCTTTATTAACGGTGAGGATGTTGTAGGATTTGTACCAGAACTCTGCGCCACCTATTCCTATAAAGAAAGCTCCATTCTCTCGGTCAACCCCTCCAAGGCCATATTTATTTTTAGCCACGTAAAATCTATCTCCTGCGCAAGTGCCTATAGCATTAGAGGGAATGCTCCCGGCATATCCTTTGTGCCATTCCAACAGTTCTAGCATATTTTCATTCACTAAAAGCCAGAATTTGGTGCTCTGATGCTGTTTCCCATCAAAAGTATAGAAACAGGACAAACCCTCATTTGTAGTGTAGAATCCAACTCGGCAAACTTCAGTAGCGCAAATATACTCTGTCCTCTGGGCATAATCGTTCCAGAATGAGACAGCTCCTTGGGAGACATTTCCCTGAAATGGCACCCACTTCAGGCTTGTGCCCCGAAAGGCCTCATTGCCCCAAGCATCCTGTCGCTTATTTTTTTTCAAGAACCGTGTTGCTTGGCTTCCTCCTTTTTCTGGGACTGCAAATACAAATTGAAAGAGATTAAGAGGTGAAACATATAATGAGAATGGATAAGAGGTATAGTCATTCCTCCACATTTATTTTTTTTTCACTTTTACGGATTCTCACTAGGATTTCTAGATCTTCTAGTGTGACTCTATGGTCAAATTCCTCCAGTCATGCTGCTGGACTTTCTTTCTAGAGAAAACATTTCTCTAAAAATCTCTAGGTCTTCTAATGTGACTCATCATAAAGGCCAGGCATCCAGAAGAAAAGAGAATGACAGTGGAATTAATCTGTCACCACACACACAGCTCCCTCTCGGCAACGCTTTCCCCATCACATCGAGAAAGCGTTGTCCAGCTGGTGAGTCCCTGTTCTGGTTCCATTGGAGCCAGCACAACATGGAAATCCAGAAATGCTTTCATTCCAGCTGGGGGTGCTGCCAGAAGTCATACAATAACAACAACAACAACAACAACAACAACAACAAGCCATTCGAACCAAAGCCATCAAAGCCAGAACTGAAAAGTCGACAACAGATCCCAAATGTAGACTCTGCAAGGAAGCAGATGAAACAATAGATCACATCCTCAGCTGCTGCAAGAAGGCTGCGCAGACAGACTACAAACAGAGGCGTAACACTGTTGCTCAGATGATTCATTGGAACTTGTGCCACAAATACCATCTGCCTGCGACAAACAACTGATGGGATCACAAGCCTGAAAAAGTTACAGAGAATGAACATGCCAAACTCCTCTGGGACTTCTGGATTCAGACTGACAGAGATTTGGAGCATAATACTCCTGACCTCACAATCGTGTTAAAAAAACAAAGTATAGATTGTCGATGTTGCAATCCCAGGTGACAGCAGGATTGCAGAGAATCAACTGGAAAAGCTGACACAATGTGAGAATTTAAAGATTGAACTGAAAGACTGTGGCACAAGCTAGTCAAGTTACTCCCAGTGGTGATCGGCACACTTGGTGCAGTGCCTAAAGACCTTGGCCTGCACTTAAACACAATCAGCGCTGATAAAGTTACCACCTGCCAGCTGCAGAAGGCCACCTTACTGGGATTTGCATGCATTATTTGCCGATACATCACACAGTCCTAGACACTTGGGAAGTGTCCGATGTGTGATCCATTTCAACAGCCAGCAGAGTGTCTGCTGTGGACTCATCCTGTTGTGTTTCAAATAATAATAATAATAATAATAATAATAATAATCTTTATTTATACCCCGCCACCATCTCCCCGAAGGGGACTCGGGCGGCTAACATGAGGCCAAGCCCAAAGATACAATACATCAAAATAAAATACAAAATGCAAACAATAAAAATTACATCAGAATAAAATACATACAGTAGCAAAATAAAATAAATAAAGCAAATTGACATAATAAAAAATCGAACACAATGGGCAGGCCAAATGGAGGAGGTAAAATGATAAAACCCTGGATGAGGTAGGAATAGAAAAAGTATAATTGAGAGGAGCCCAAAAAGGATGAACAGTGGGGTTAGGCTTTCAGTTTAGGATGGGGGAAAATGCGATGTCCTGTGTGGGCTTCATCCATTAGACAAGTTTAAATTCATCCTTTCTGGTGAGATCACCAGTGTTCACCATCCAGTGTGGAAATTGACCATATGGTCATGGTGAAAGGTACAGAAATTACTAGAGTTGTTCCTTGGTAAAAAGAAAAGGAATAGCCATTTCCTTATTTTTGATGTTTCATTTTCTTGGGGATCCTGTGTCTCTAACCCCAGTAGTTTCAAATGTGAGTTCTTAAATACATTGAAAGCACCCAGAACACATCAGAATTTGGAAACTAAGCAGCTCTGGTTAGTACTTTGATAGGAGACTGCCAACAAATACCAGATACTGTGAAATGAAGGAACTGGCAAATCACATTTAGTATTTTTTTTTGCCTAAGAAAATCCCATTTCTTTTCCTGTGTTTTTTTTTATATTTTCCATCATGCCATTGCTCCAGCAACTGATAAAAAGGCCTTCCTCCATTGCTACAGCTTGCCCTGACATGTTTTTATGCCCTTTCATCTCTGGATAGAAATTTTGGCTAACATAAATCGTGAATGACCTTTCCTTGATGCCTCCAGGGCCATCCTGGAACGGTTTAACTTCAAAAATAAGAGAAACAAAGAAGAACACCAACCAACAACCAGTCATAGAATCATAGAATCAAAGAGTTGGAAGAGACCTCATGGGCCATCCAGTCCAACCCCCTGCCAAGAAGCAGGAATATTGCATTCAAATCACCCCTGACAGATGGCCATCCAGCTTCTGTTTAAAAGCTTCCATAGAAGGAGCCTCCACCACACTCTGGGGCAGAGAGTTCCACTGCTGAACGGCTCTTACAGTCAGGAAGTTCTTCCTCATGTTCAGGTGGAATCTCCTCTCTTGTAGTTTGAAGCCATTGTTCAGTCAATGAGGTAAGCATAAGACTTACTATAAGACTGGAATTCTCTTACTCCTTCAGGCAACAATCAATTAATTCCACCAGGGCCCACCTTCCTCCTGTAATAGCCAACTTCTTCCATTGTCATTTAGTAGCCAGTATGGGGTGGGGGGAAATACTGGAGAAGCAGAGTCAAAAGGTAATTTTCAACTGCTGTCCATTGGAGTTCCAAGAAGAAGACATCATCATGCTGTATCTGGCTACAGGGCTATTTCCTAATGCTTCGCCAATACTCCCACAGATGTGCAATCTTAGTTCCTCATTTTAGAAAGTAGAGACAGCCCTCCATGTTTGTGGGTTGACTTTTACAGGTTTGATTACTCACTGATTTCATTACTCAGAGATTTGCAGGTTTGATTATTCATATACCCTGAGATGATCCCAGGGGCAGAAATTTAGCCCCCAGATTCATTGTAATTGCTTCCCCTTGCCCAAAGATGTCTTGCCCTAGGTGGATCATATTATGTTATTGGTAGGGCAGGATTTCAGCCACAACTGTTGTCAGATCTTGCTTTGGCTGTCTGATGGGCATATTGCATGTAGTGCCAACACAGGGCTGGAATCTAGAGCTAAGCAGCACGAACTGTTGACCACGTGAAGGAGGGTAATGAATCTGCGCTAAGTTCTAGTGTGAGATTTAAAAGAGCTCTTCCAGATGCAAGCCTTGGTCCCCCTAATAAATGACCCAGAACAGATCTTCCACCCTAGTGACATGAAAGCCACCACTGACCTTTGTCAATGCCAAGTAATTTTGATACATCACCTGATATCACCGGTGGTCTTTTTTCCACAGTTCTCCTCAGAATTGTAAGAGTGACGTTCACACCAGAGTTCCCGTGTTCAGAGGCAATTGAGGGAATTAGGAGAATGCAGAGCAATAGGTGCATCTGAAAGAAGAATAAACAAACCAGGAAGACACTTTAGTTTCATAGCTTGGAAACCCTCCACCATTAAACAATTGGTACATTATTCAGAGGTAAATTCCCAGTAAGAAATCCTGATTTGGAAAACCCTTGAACTTGCTACTGTCCTACTTTTTTGTTAGATTTGCCAAATTTGGCAATGAGGAAATGCTGGAATGTATTTACTAAGCTGGATGGAAATACAACACTGCTGGGATATCATAGGCGTTGCATCCTGTCAGTAGAAACAGAAACATAGGCACAGACTAACATGCAGTGAAAATGGGTGTTGGACATTAATACTTATACGAAATCAATTATTGCTTCATTTTTGACCAAGATATCAGTGGTAGATGGTAGCTCCCATGTCAGCAGTATGAAGAATGGTCCCCCCCCCCAAGGTTTGATTGGAGGCATGCAAAGTCCCCATTCCATTTTGGAAACAGAGTTCTGCAATCTCGGGAACTACTTTGCAGTGTATATTAACACCTTTACTAGATTGACTACTCTGTTGTGATATGTCGTCAATTAATTCCTGATTTACAGTAACCCTGAGCAAGTTTTCTTGACAAAATTAGTTTAGAAAGAGTTTGCCTTCTTCTGAGGTGGAGTATGATGGCTTTCAACTATGAGAGTGTGAGTTCCCTATAGTCACCCAATGGGTTTCTGTGACTGAATGGAGATTTGAATCATTATTTCTTAAATCCTAATCCATTTCTACACTAGGCCAGTTAGCCTGGTGTAAATGTGCTCTCAGAGTAGCCACTGTCCACATGGGACTACATTTGGCCTGTCACTTCCTCATGTAGCTATTGTGCCATCTTGGCCATAGAGCTCAACCTGAGCTCCTATCCACCATGATCTCCTCTGCTCATGTCAAAACAGCACCAATATGATCTGATAATTACCACAGAAAAAGGGTGATAGTGGCATGTCCAGTTTGGACAATGGATTGTCCTGAACTGAACTGAAACTCATTCCACTCTTTGGACTGCCCTGAAGTCCTGAGGATACTCCAGAAGATCAAGCAAACTCTGGAGTATTGCCTGGCTTTGGCAAAAACAGAACAGAGTGTTGAAAGGCAAGAAGTCTATTACATGACAAAGAAATACTGACACCCTCTATTCTCTCTGCTATTGCATTGATTCTGATATTTTTGAATGCTTGGACTGGGAAATGGTAGTGGCGGCCAGGGTTGATTGACCCCCTGAAGTGGCATGGGTGCTTTTCTCTCTCCGCAGAATGATCCTCGTTCTTTTCTACATCAAAATCCATAATTTTGGCCTCCAAACTTGCCTTCAATTTATACATGAGGCTAATTTGTACATAAGTATACAGTTCCTGAGTTACAAACATCTGGCTTTCAAATTATTATTAGTTAAAATGGGGGTGAGACAACAGCCAGTGAGAGAATTTCGGATTTATATATGGCTAATGGTGAATACTATTTTAAATGGATTTCAATTTAATTTTAATCTAATGTTTTTACCTATTATGTAATTGTTGTGTTTTACTATGTTTTGTATGTGAGGGCATCGAATTGCTGCCGGCTGTAAGCCACCCTGAGTCCCCCACCGGGGGTTGAGAAGAGCGGAGTACATATGTTGGAAATAAATAATAATAAATAATAAATCTACCACTAGGAAGGGAAATTCATTCCTGAAAGAGTCATCATGGGGAAAAGGTGTCTCCACTGAAGCTTTGCAAATGAAAATAACATCAACAACATCATCAACAAAATCAACAACAGCTTACCTTGCAACTCAGAGTTGCTGTGTACCTGTGGTTCTTGGAGTTTGGGAGGTCTGCCTTCTTATCTTTTAAAGTATATAGCCAACTAATGTGTGGTTTTGCATGTAGATCTCATGTATGGTGAGGAGAAAGTTCAGTGTCCAAGGGACCAGCTAGCTGCTTGCTTTGTTTTTAGCATGAATTTTAAAAACACTTTTCAAATGCTGTTAAACTTGTATATAACAAAGATAAATGGAACCACGTAAACAATGAGTCAACACCATCCCAGCCCAATATTTACAGCAAACATTTATGTAGCCTTTGAAGAAATTTTCTGTTTTGTATAACAGCAAAGTGTCATGTTTAGGGTATGAGTGTGTACTTTATATCAGTGAAACAAATGAAATCCAAGCTGAAAGTAGTTGTGATTTTGTGACTGCAGTTTATGAAAAATGCATGATTTTTTGGGGTGAGGTGGAATTATATTATTAAGCCATGGAAAAACTCCCTTTGGATCTAAAAGCAGCCAGTGTACTACAAGAAGCAAGCTAGATTAGGGAGAGGTAGTTAGAGGTGAGTCAAGCCAGTCCATGGGCGATCAAGGGAGTTCACGAAGGATAAAGGGGGGTGGGGTGGAGTGGGGTGCAGTAATGAGTTCTCCACAGTTCCAAAATCTATTTCAAGAAGTCTATAGTCATGATAACCAGAACCACGAGAAAAAGACTTAAGCAACTTAAGATCAAGGATCCCAAAAGACCAAGACTTAAGCCAGTCCATGGGCAATCACGGGAGTTCACGAAGGATAAAGGGGGGTGGGGTGGAGTGGGGTGCAGTAATGAGTTCTCCACAGTTCCAAAATCCATTTCAAGAAGTCTATAGTCATGATAACCAGAACCACGAGAAAAAGCCCAAAATAAAAATAAAATAAAATAAAGCCATAAGCATTGTAAGTAGGGAAAGCCCAAAATAAAATAAAATAAAATAAAATAAAATAAAATAAAATAAAATAAAATAAAGCCATAAGCATTGTAAGTAGGGAAAACCTGGGAGCCCAAGCAGTTGCAAACCCAAAGAACTCACCTTTGGAGAGTTATAGTTGTCCATCTTTCAGACACCAGAATGGCTGTGGATCACTGTTTCTTGCTTAAGCCTCAGCAATCTCTGCTTGTCTTCCTGGCAACATGCTGCAAACGTCAGGGCTTCCTCCTTGATATCTTCCAATTGTGGCTGATGTGGGGTCCTGTTTTCCTGAAGTTCTCCATCAGCTGCATCTACCACATTTTTTTTTTCTGATGGGCCAATCAATCTGGAGCCAGAGGCCTTTCTACATCTGAGTTTTCCCCAATAGATTCTTTAGATTCCACAACCAGAGTCACTCCTGTAAAATCCAAACCAGGCAAATAAATTTTGTTTGGACTGTAGCAGAAAGAGTTAAACTTTGGCATACACCCACTCCCATGTTCCCAAGGTTGAGTGGGCTTGACTGCTGTTTACTTAAAGATAAAGCTGACCCCTCCTCTTGCTTCACCTTGAGATTGCAAATGCATTGGAAGTGTAGTTTAATTTTGGCTGATGCTAAAAGAGTCTCCCTACTTTCAGGTTCCAGTCCTGGTTTCAGACAGAAATTGCCTTGTTTTTGCTGAAAAAGGTGGTGATAATTTAGAAACATGGCATCCTCAACAGCTGAAGGCTTACTCTGGGCTTATGTTTGCAGCAACGTTTTCCTGGTTCATATTGGCCCTGCAATGACTCCATTACCAGTACATCGCATATATTGTAGTAAGATCATGTAATCAGCCACATATTTCTCTGCTGAACCCTGCTCACTGTCTTCTGCATTTGCAGTCCTGTGATATGGGATTGTTGGAGTTGTAGTTTTACAAAGTCTTTTGCCTTCTTTCCCAAAGAGTGCTGGTGCCTTATCAAACTACAACTCCCCTGACCCTGTTATTAATAAAAAACCCCAATTAACCGATCCGGAATTTCTTTGATTGTATTGTGGGCTTATATACAAACTAGCCGTCCCCTGCCACGCATTGTTGTGGCCCAGTCTGGTGATCTGGAAAATAAAGTAATTGGAAAGTGTTGGTTTCTAATATATGCAATTTCTTTATGCTTGTGGGTAAACAGTATTTCTTGCTGTTTCTTTGTCAGTGTTGATGTGGAAATTGTCTGGTTTTCCCATTCTGGAACATGCAACATATAATTGTCCTTCTTTAGGGGTCTCTTTCAAATCTAGGATACTATATCTCTGTGTGTGTGAATCATGTATATTTATCTATATCTATGGCTTGATGGCTCTTTGTCAGGAGGGCTTTGATTACGTTTTCTTGCCCTGGTGAAGGGAGGTAGGACTGGATGGCCTTAAGTATGAAGGTTCTGTGTGGGAAGTTTGCCCCAGTTCTGTTGGTGGGGTTCAGCATGCTCTTTGATTGTAGGTGATCTATAAATCCCAGTAACTACAACTCCCATATGTCAAGGTCTATTTTCCCCAAACTCCATCGGTGTTCATATTGGGGCAAATGGAATATTCGTGCCAAGTTTGGTCTGGATGCTTCATTGTTTGAGTCTACAGTGCTCTCTGGTAGTAGGTGAACTACAACTCCCAAAATCAAGGTCAATGCCCACCAAACCCTTCTAGTGTTTTCTGTCGGTCATGAAAGTCCTGTGCGCCACATTTGGTTCAATTCCATCATTGGTGGAGTTCAGAATGCTCTTTGATTGTAAGTAAACTATAAATCCCAGCAACTACAACTCCCAAATGACAAAATCAATTTTTTTGAGTGATGGTCACTCTTTGGATTAGTAGGTGTCTTGTGGCCAAATTTGGCGGCAATTCATTCAGTGGTTTTTGAGTTATGTTAATCCCACAAACGAACATTACATTGTATTGTCGAAGGCTTTCATGGCTGGAATCACTAAGTTCTTGTGGGTTTTTTCGGGCTATATGGCCATGTTCTAGAGGCATTTCTCCTGACGTTTCGCCTGCATCTATGGCAAGCATCCTCAGAGGTGAGGTCTCTCACCTCTGAGGATGCTTGCCATAGATGCAGGCGAAACGTCAGGAGAAATGCCTCGAACATGGCCATATAGCCCAAAAAAAACCCCACAAGAACTTAGAACATTACATTTTTATTTATATAGATGTGGATTTATTAGCAAAGGCAATAAATGTGCATGGCATCTTAATAAAGCTGGTTTCACTTTTGGTTTTTTTGTCTGTTTTTCCATGATACAAAGTTAATTTTTTACAGAAGGCCAGGTTCCACCGCCGCCAGGATTGTGCAATCTCTAATCTTACTGCTCTGATTGATATGAATGAGGTCTTTGTTAGTTAAATCTGTACCTTTCTCACAGAGTAAAGAAAACTGTAAAACAAAAGCACAAAAGTTGATTGGTTATCTCTGAGATGAAAGCAAGGTTCTGATCTCAGAAGGATATAACAGGTCAGCAGAGTCACATGTGTGATGTGTCATTGCCCTTCTTCTTGCATCTTCTCTAATACTGCATTCAAATATGTGTTTACGAGATTGCTGCGATGGGAATGGGGTAACATTCTTATAGTTTTCTCTATTCTTTATGACACTCAGAGTCTCAGAGGAGAAGACTGAACATGCGTGGAAAGTCCTACCAACTGTGTGCTTTTGGATATAATAACTACCGTATATCCTTGTCATCTCTTCAAGAGGCATAACAGAGATAGATGTCAAATGCAGAAAAAATATGGCTATTTTTGAGTGACTGTTTTTGATACGTTTCCAAATATTTACAAATTTCTTCACACTTGGATCAGAGGAACCCGATATTTTTGAAAACAATATATGGGAGGAACTGAAATTGAGAGGTTATTATTATTATATTTATTTATATCCCATTTTATCATTCCAAAGGGGATACAAAAGAGACCCCGCTTTATCTCCCCAAAGGAGATGCATCCATCTGCGCTTTGTCTAGATTGCTCAACTCTGAAAGATCAGTGTGATTCCTATGAATTCAAATGTATTTGTGCTGAATTTCAATGTCCACTTCTGCTTTTCTGTTTGTTGTCTCTATTTTTTAGCTGATCCCTCACCTTTTGCACCTATATGACAACAGGTATGTTTTTTTCGTGTCAGAAGTGATTGAGAACATACTGCAAGTCACTTCTGGTGTGAGAGAATTGGCCATCTACAAAGACATTGCCCAGGGGACGCCCGGATGTGTTACCATCCTGTGGGAGGCTTCTCTCATGTCCCCACATGGAAAGCTGGGGTTGACAGATGGGAGCTCACCCTGTCTTGTGGATTCGAATCGGCGACGGTCAGGTCAACAGTTCAGCCAGCACAAGGGTTTAACCCATTGCACCACCACAGCTCCTGACAGGCTGGTAGAAAGCATATCTCTCTCTACACTGGAGAGCATGGTACTGTTGAATATAGTCAGTGCTGACATTTTTCATATTTGAGATGGAAAAGAGAGTTTTCATCCTGGATTAAAAAAAAAAGAATTGCGAAAGAAAGGGGAATGAAAATGTACCTACCCCTAAGGGTAAACAAGTATTGGAGCATTAGCGTTGTCACAAAAGTTCTTCTTGGAGGCATATATGACATAAGTATATATGACATAAGTAAACTCTGTTAGAATTAACTAAAATTGTATCTGATAAAAAAAAATTGTTGGTTTGCAGTTAATTAGATTCTGTTAATACCAGTGTGTAAAAGCATTAAAGAGCTGAGGATGTTTCACAATCCTCTCTTTTCATAGAATCATAGAATTGGGAGAGACCACAAGGGCCATCCAGTTCACCCTCTGCCATGCAGAAAAAACACAATCAACACACCCCAGCAGATGGCCATCCAGCATCTGTTTAAAAGCTTTCAAGGAAGGAGCTTCCACCACACTCTGAGGCAGAGTGTTCCACTGCTAATCAGCTCTTATGGTCAGGAAATTCTTCCTAATGTGCAGATAGAATCTCCTTTTCTGCAATTTTAATCCATTATTTCAAGTCGTAGCTTCCGGGGAAGCAGAAAATAAGCCTGCTTGCTCCTCCTTATGACATCCTTTCAGATATTTAAACATGTCTATCATGTCCCCTCTCAGCCTTCTTTTTACCAAGCTAAACATCGCAGCTCTTTAATGCATTTACACACTTGTATTAACAGAATCTAATTAACTGCAAACCAACAATTTTTTTATCAGATACAATTTTAGTTAATTCTAACAGAGTTTTTTGTGTAGATTTTGTGATGAGGCTAATTGAATGATTAATGCATTTACTTATTACTAATAGAATCTAATTGATATCAGTATGTATGTGCATTAATTATTCAAATAGCCTCATCGCAAAAACTACACATAATAGAGATGAAATAAACACAGATCTGAATTCAGCACAAAAACTCTGTAAGAATGACCTGAATTTATATCTGATGAAAAATATTTGCTGGATTCTTACACGAATATGACGCGAAATGTGAAGACTTTACAGTAGTCCGCTGTAATGTACCACTCATCATATTTTTAGAAGTTGATGTGATGGAAAAAAATAAGACATATTTAAAATCAGCATAAAAATTGATCTAAATTGTGCTTCTCTCATTTCCGATGATTACAAAAAGTTTGATTTTGTTGGCTAGTATAATAAAATTTGTAAAAGTCAAAACTACAATTATAGAGCTACAATTATATGGTTATGATACAGATAAAACTTGTAGCCATTTGCTTCTTTGAAAACAGTAGACTTGAGTAGGATCCAAGTGGACTTCCGAATATTGTTGGGCTGTGACTCCCTTTGGCCTTGGACCCAGCGTAACCAATGGGGAAGAGTACAACCAACAATATCAGAAGGGTCAACCAATTCTCGTATCTGCAATAGGCTTCAGAACTGAGCGACAGTGATTTTGAAAGCATCTATGTGTAGGTTGAACAATACATACAACTATTTCTGGATTTTGTTTCCTAACGAAATTTCAGCTTCAGGCTTGTGAAACAAATACTCCCAACACAAATCTCATTGATATAACTGACATTTATTTCCAAGTAATTTTATTCAGGATCAGGAAGCATGTTTATGTTATAATATGATGGAACCAAGGAAAAATTCCAGTTTGCTCTGTCGGGTGGATTATGTTCTCGTATATCAAAGCTTAGCCCTCACCCCTATTGCTGTTCTTCATGTTACCCAGAAAAATTGTTTTTTTTCTTCTTGGTTTCTGCTGCAGGATAAAGAATGGTTTGCAAATAGCATAGAGGGTTATGAATATGTGCCACTGACCTATGAAAGACATGGCTCTGCATCTGGGATGGGTTGGCACCGCTTAATTTCTGTGTGCACTTGTGCCACAACGACATTTTTGCTGACCCCAGAGACGGTGGCACTTCGTCTCTCTCCATTATGGTAGTAACGAGTTACACTGGCTGTAAAGGGAATATTGGCCTTCATTGTTGTGCCTTCCATTGCTACTTCACAACTGTGGTTAGGTGGGATGTTAACCTCTACAGTTTCAGTATATGTGACCGATTCACTCTGTGTGAAACCTTTATTCCAGCTGTAGGTTTTCTCTGATGAAAAACCCCATGATGTCCCAATGACTTTTGGTATTCCCACTGTTATGCTACAGCTTACAGTCTCTGAAAGAGAAATTCCAATGTCCCAGCGATGTTCAAAGGATACTGTTTTTGATAAGGCGGTGGTTTTCTGAACAGATTTACAGTGATGATTGTTGACTTTGGTGGTAAGCAAGGTTATGTCATGGCTGCTGTATGTCCCCTGCTCTTTCTTGTATCTGACATTGTTGATCTCTTGAGATTGATAATCTTTATTAATGGTGAGGACCTCATATTCTTTATACCAGTATTCTTTACCAGCGTACCCAAGAAAGAAAGCAGTGTTTGCGGGATCTACCTTTCCCAAGCCAAATTTATTTCTCCCCACATAGAGTTCCACACCTGGACAGGTACTGATTGAATTTCGTGGAACACCACCATAGGAATCCCATTCCCATTTCAAAGATTCAAAGTCATGTTCGTTCACCAACACCCAGAAGGGAGAGATGCCTCGTTCTCGATCGCCGTAGGGATAGTAACAAAAAGGACCACGAGATGGACTATAGTAACCAGCTGCACAGTTACTGACCCTGCAAGGATATTCCCACCGTCTAGAGTGGTGATAGCTATTCCAGAATGACACTGCTCCACTCGGAACAGACCCTTCAAACTGAACCCATTTCACGGTAGTTCCATGGAAATGAGCTGAAATTACAAGATAAAAAAGAAAAAGAAAGTTTAGTAAGAGAGAGGAAGGTGCAGCCTACACACCAACTCTTCTCTACTTGGAAGAGTAGTCTTATACAGCAAGTATATTCCAAACTATATTTTAACTTGAAAAGTTGGGGTCATCTTAATAATAAACTTTTTTTATACCCTGCCATCATCTCCTCAAAGGGGACTCAGGGTGGCTTATACACCTAGTCACCTTTTACGCTGGAAAATACGGTACTTGGATTTCTGCATTTTTTGGAACTATTCATAGTGATTTATTGCACCTGAAGTTTTCCTAAAGCTTTTTAAAGAGCTCTATCTGGGTTGTGTCTTCCTGATGAGATCCTGCGGTTTAATGGGCAAATTTGTTCCTCTTTTTTTAAAAAAAAATCTTTAATTTTTTTAACGTTACAGTATAAAAGTGTCATTTCACTAATGACACAAAAATATAGAAAAGAAAAGAAGATAAAGGACTATATTGTTCCAACATGTCTTGAGATTGCAGCTGGTGCCAGACATGGACAGAAAGTAGTCTGGGACAGCAGTTCCCAAACAGTTTTCCGCAGACATCTGAGGTTCTAAAAAAACATTGCTGAACTTTGATGAAATTTTATTAAACATCTTTAAAAATTTGCCATTGACAGAGTATGAAGATCTTAAATAAATTCAATGTAAGTAAAGGTTTCCCCTTGACATTAAATCTAGTCGTGTCTGACTCTTGGGGGTCGTGCCCATCTCCATTTCTAAGCCAAAGAGCTGCCATTGTCCAAAGAGGCCTCCTAGGTAATGTGGCTGGCATGACTGCACGAAGCGCCATTACCTTCCTGCTAACGCAATACCTATTGATGTACTCACATTTGCATGTTTTTGAACTGCTAGGTTAGCAGAAACTGGGGCTAACAGCAGGAGCTCACCCCGCTCCCTGGATTTGAACTGTTAACTTTTCAGTCAGCAAGTTCAGCAGCTCAGTGGTTTAACCTGCTGCCCCCAGTCCTGCTTCTTTTTCAGATCAGGAAACAAGTCATACCGAGGACATCATGAGCCTTTTACCTACCAGCTGTCATTAGAGGGCCATTGCCACTGCCACTAAGCTCATTCATGATCAGAGACACGAAGATGGCACAGAAGAGGGGATGCATCTGGAACAAAAAGCAAGGGAGCAGTTGAGAAATACAGTCTGGAAATTAGACATAATAGGGCATTTTTCATCAGTTTATTAAAATGTGCATCTAGCATGTCGATGTAAAGGGAATCTAAACCTGGATGTAAGGTGATGTACAGGGACTTTCTGTCTGAAATGTGAGGTAAAACGGGTGGAGTTGGTTTAATAATAATAATAATAATAATAATAATAATAACAACAACACTTTATTTATATTCCACCCTTCTCCCCATGGGGACTCAGAGCATATTACAGTGTAAATAGATACTGGCAAACATTCAATGCCTTGTTACAATGCAATGAGACAAACACAAACAAAGGCAGAGGCTTCTCCTTTCATTTCCAGCTTTGGAGGCGGTGCTCATCTCTGGCTCTGGGGGAGGTGCTGTTCTCCATTTCCAAGCCGAGGAGCCTGCGTTGTCCCCTCCTGTCCGTGTGACCGGCATGACTGCTTGGAGCATCTTATGCCTTTCCCGCCGAAGTGGTACCTATTTATCTACTCACATTTGCATGTTTTTGCCCCGCTAGGTTGGCAGAAGCTGGGCTAACAGCAGGAGCTCTCCCCATCCCATGGATTCGAACTGCTAACCTTCAAATAAGCAGTTCAGCAGCACAAGGGTTTAATCCATTGCGCCACTGTGCCTCTATTTTATACAAAGCTGAGGAATGCTCTAGAGTTTCGTTAAAAGACTAGCACACTCTAAAATTTCAATGTGAGCATAGAAAACATGAGTGGCTCCAGCACCATCATCTCCTTTTCCTTGCATGGGGATGGATTGGGGCTGTATTGCCCTGCTGCCATAGCAGGCTTGTATATATGTTCTGCCACGGACTTCTGGTTGACTTGCTCGTTTAAAAAGGTATCTGCCAACCATAAAATCACCTCCCTCAACTCATAATTAGGAAAACTGTTCCCCAAAATCTCTGGCAGTTTTCATGACTCTCTGTTATAGAATTCAAAGTGTTATAGTTTTATGACAATTCGCTTTTATGAAAAGGAAACCAGAGAAATAGGTAACCATTTATTCTGTCTCAGCTTCCTTGGGTGAATCTATGCTGTAGAACAGGTATGGGTAAACCCAGGCCCGGGGCCCAGATGCAGACCCTTGGGCTCTTTTCTCAGACCCTCCTCTCTCTCACCATCCTATCCTTCCTTCCTTCTCTCTTTCCTCCCTCCCTTACCTCCCTCTTTCTCTACCCTTTTCTCCTTCCTTCCTTCCCTTTTGTCTTTCCTTCCTTCTCTATTTCCCTCCCTTCCCTCCCTCACTCCATTCCCTCCCTCACTCCATTTCCTTCACCCTTTCGTCCTTCCTTCCTTCCTCCTTCCTTTCCCCCCTCCATCCTTCTCTTCTTCTCTTTCTCCTTCCTCATTTCCTTCCTTTCTTCCATCCCTTTGTCCTTCCTTCTCTTTTGTCTTTCCTTCCTTTTCCTCTCTCTCTTCCCTCCCTCCCTCAATTACCCTCCACCTGCCTTCCTTCTCTCCTTTCTCCTTTCTTCCTTCCTTCTCTTTCTCTCTTCTTTTGGTTTTTCCTTTCTCCTATCCTTCCTTCCTTCTCTCCCAACCCTTTGTCATTCCTTCCTTCCCTTTTCTTTCCTTCCTCCTTCCCTCCCTCTTCCCCCTTCAATTGCCTTCCATCCTTTTCTTCCTTCTCTTTCCTTTCTCCTTCCCTTCTTCCTTCTCTTTCTCCCTTCTGTTTTTCCTTCCTCCTATCCGTCCTTCCCTCCCTTCCAATCCTCCGTCATTCCTTCCTTCCCTTTTGTCTTTCCTTCCTCCTTCCCTCCCTCTTTCTCCCTCCCTCCCTCCCTCCCTCCCATCCATCCATCCATCCATCCATCATTTTATCCTACCTTCCCTTTTTCACCCTCTTCTTCCCTCCCTCCTCCTTTTTTGTCTTTCCTTCCTCCTTCCCTCTTTCTCCATCCATCCATCCTTCCTCCCATCCTTTTCTCCTACCTTCCTTTTTTTCACCTTCTTCTTCCCTCCCTTCTCCCTTCCTTCCTTTTTGTCTTTCCTTCCTTCTCTCTTTCCTCCCTCTATCTCTTCCCTCCCTCTTTCTCCCTCCCTCCATTCTCTTCCACCTTTCTTCCTTTCTTCCTTTTCTCTTTCCCTCCTCTTTCCCATCACTGGGCAGCCAGTCCTCTTAGCAGGGAGTGCTAGCATGCGGCCCCTAAATAAAAAAATGCCCATGCCTGCTGTAGAATGAATGCAGCTTGACACCACTTTAATTGCCCTGGCTCAATGCTAGGGAATCCTGTGAGTTGTAGTTTTACAAGCTCTTTAGCCTTCCCTGCCAAAGAGATCTGGTGCCTCCCCAAACTACAAATCCCAGGATTACTTACACTGAATAATGGTATTCTCAGTGTTATCAAACAGCATACATACATTGCTTACAGTATAGGTGCATCCTAGGTGATTCCAAAGCCCTTGGGTGAATCTACGCTGAAATTAATGCAATCTGACACCACGTTCACTGATATGGTTCAATGCTATGCAATCATGGGGGCAGTCATTTACAAAGTTTTCAGACTTCTCTGCCAAAGAAATGCTGGTTTCTCACCAAACTACAACTTCCAGAATTGCATAGTACTGAGCCATGGCCATTAATTCTGCATTAATTCTGCAGTGTAGCTGCATCCTAGGAGGGCTATGCTGGGGTCCTAGACTTTATTCCCCAGATGCACTTAGAGCTGCAAAAGGGAATCACAAGCAAGACTCAAGGAAAGCTCCTCTGACTTACTTGAAGGAAGTATGGGGACTAAATACTCAAAGGGCTTTCTGCTTAGCAATCTTCCAGCAATCGAAAGGAACCCCCCCCCCCCCGCTTCCAAAATAGGATTTCTAGTATGTGCCTCCATAATTCTGTGGCTTGTAGTTTAGGGAGGGGCTTTTACCTTTCCCAGCAAGAGATGTCCTGGGGCGCACTCAACTACATGCCCTAGAATTCTGCAGGTTTTAAGGTGGGATGAGGAAAGTCCTAGCTAATCTTGGAAACTAAGCAGGGTCAGTTGAATGGGAGACCCTCAAGGAATACCTGTTGGAGTAGGTTGTATTTCAGCCGAAGGAGCTGGAAAAAAAAAGAAGTCTAACCTTGGCAAAAGGAGGCAGAAAATCTCCGAAAAGCAGGTGGCTTCCTTCTTTTGAGTCTTTTCCTCCTCTTTTCCCTGTTTGCAAGCTTCCTGGCATTCTAAAGGAACTTTCCCTTTCACTTTGGCTCAGCACTAAGATTACCATAATACTTGATACTAATGTGCCCCCTTATTTTAGCCATGTCTTTTAGCCAAAAAGATGCACATTTGTCTCGAAAAAATACTGTACTTTCACAGGAGCATTGTAATAAAGAGAGGCGTAATACCGAACAAAGAGAGGGGTAATATCAAAAGTGTTCATCCCAAAATGTATTTGCTATTTATTTATTTACGATATTTATAACCCACCTTTCTCAGCCACACAACAACTCAAGGGAGTGCCATAGCTGGGGGGCCACCACTGAGAAGGCTCTGTCCTTTGTCTCTGTCCAGGCCCATAGCCAGGATTTCGTTTCGGGGGGGGGGCGCTAATTTTTTTTAGGGGGGGTTGGGGGGGCTGAGTTTCGGGGGGGGGAGGCTGAGTCTGAGTGAAAGAGGGTCTAGCCTAGCAAACCTTTTGTATCATTACCCCAATACCCCCATGCATATGGGAGCCCCTCAAGCCCCCCCCCCCGGCTACATGCCTGTCTCTGTCTATCGCACTCGTGAGGCAATCTATGCTCAACTGTTACATGATAGGGCAAGAAGAAAGGGAAATGTGCTTTTTGCACTAAAGTCCTGTATGTTCCCTAAGAACAGGCAGGTAATACTGTACTGTACTTTCTATTTTCTGGGTGGATGTTAGTTGCTAGCTGTAATTGCTCATTTTGACTAAGCTGTGACGGCGCGAGTGGCGCCACCTATGTATAGAACTGTTAGTTGTAAGATTTAAACTGTTGTATCATGCTTAATCCTGCCCCTTTTTGCCATGTTTCTGTATATTTGTATGGATTGGTTACTTGTAGCTGTCAATCAGCACTGTTTGGCTCCACCTCTTCCTGCAAGAGGGGAGAACTTCCTTTTCTTTTCATTCTGCCATGAGAGTTCCTGCAACATGGACGTGAGTAAGAGACTTCATTCTTAAAGGACCCTGTTTTAAGTCACCTCTTAGCACCAATTCTGAAGTTTTTTACCCCTGGGACTCATGCTTTATGTCCAGATCATCCTGGACGGATACTGAGGAGACCCAGGCGCCTTCAAGCCAGTTCTTTTGGCACCAGAGGAAGATCCTGAATCTTCAAACTAGGCCATTTGAATTGGAGTTGTGGTTTTGCTCCGGCACTCACAACCATTGAGGAAGAGGAAACCTGGTGAGGCTTCTCAGCTTCAAACCCCTTGGACTCAGGACTAATAGAGACTGTAAAGTGTGTTTTTCCTTCAGCCTTCTAAAGTTTTCCAGTTTATTGCATTGAAGAAATGACTTTGTGACAAATAAAACTTGTTTTGAGTTATT